GAACTGAAAAAAGTTGCCCCACCAAGATGATATGAAACATGGCAAACATAAATCTATTTTTTTTTACTGCATTGCTTGATCCATTTCACTCTCAAAATCTTTACAAATCTTCACTGGACCCTTTATGTATTAAAATGAGGTGGTTAAATGGCAGAAGTGCAGAACTATGTTAAAATCCTCCCAATTCCTTCTTTTAAGTTGTTTAAATCATTTCTTCCATTGCAGTTGGTGTAGTCATGAGATTGTTTGTCAGATGACTAAACACTATTCATCTCCACTAAGCCTTCAGAGCTATTAATGATCCATGGCTGTGTTTTCACTGTTAGTAGACGATTTGCATGCAACCTAGCCTTGCTGAACTGCCTGCCACTGGAGATTCCAGAGCAAAAGATTTGTACATGATGTTAGGAGGAAGAGACAAGTGTGACTGAGTCACCGACACACGGCAGAGCCACTGAGGTTCATGGTTGCAGAGAGACAGGGCAGAACACATGAACTCAAGAAATGCAAATACACTGCAGGGGAAGGTGACAGATGAGGTGCTTGGGAGAAAGCTGCAAAGGAAACGGAGGAAGTTGCCCCAAGCAGGCCATGTACCACAGTCTGCGTCTGCCTATATTTAGCACAAGGGCCACAGATTGTAACGAGAGCTCCAGGGCCTTGTGTTCAGACTGGCAAGAACTGCTGCCATACATATCTGCACCCGGGGCCAGACCCGGGTTCAGGGCAGCAAAAGGGAAAAAGCAGAAAAAGCACACTAACTCAAAACATGTGCAAAGCTCAATACCCTCTAATGGAGCAGATGTGTGACAGGATGCAAACCCTGAAGGACCACCACATGTCCATTACCCGATCAGAGCAGAGACTTAGCTGCTTGTCTAGTTTGGGCTTTGGTGATCACGAATTCCTTAGTCTTTGCGGTTGCCTTTCCCCTCAGCGTTTGGAAAAGGGCAGAACAGCCCCATCTACCCATTTTTGCTGAAAAATAAATCACTTGTCTTGCTGGACGGGATTGACATTCAACGCAAATGTCAAAAGTCGCTCAAGTCATATTTGACTCTTCCTGCTTGCTTTCTAACCTTCCCCATCTACAACACCTCCAGGTCTGCTGCAGGGGGGGGATTGTCAGCGGTGAGTGATGAGGGACTGAGCTTCTCAGACAGCGCAGTCTTCTGTAGGTGTGACAAAGACGTAAATCGCTTTCTATCCCGAAGTGCAGTAAAAAGATGGTCAAAGGAGAGATTAAAGAGGGAGCGGTCAATATACAGCAGCTTGGCTTAAATGCTTTTGCCCTGCAGGGTCCATCTTTTATCAGAGATACTGACTGTGGTCAGTTTCTGCAAAAGTAGTAGCTCTGGTGCAGCATTAGTCATTTTTTTGCTGTGCAATTCTTTGGCTGGACTTTTACTTTAATACTCAACTTTTAGCAAGAGAAAAAAAAAAACTTGCTGAGCTGTAAGCAGATTTCCAAACCAACAGTCAGAAAGCAATATCTTTTATGTTTGGAAACCTGTGGATAAATCTGTACAGGGGAATTTAATTCAACTTTATTTTTAAGGTAGATTAAAACAACCAAGACCAAACTGCATCATAAAGTAACACTTTAAGAGTTAAATTTGACACCAAACCAAGTGCATTTGGTCCCAATCTGAATTAGTGTTAAATCAACTCTCTACGTAATGTATATCTCACACCAATTGTTGTTGTAATAACTTTAAAAGAGTCAATGTACTTTTACATTTCATAGTTAACACTGTGGAATTGAAATAGTAAGATGAACATTATGTTGACAATTAATTTAACGCTAATTTAGAGTGGGACCAAATGCACTCGGATTGGTGTTAAATCAACTCTTCAAGTGTTACTTTAATACTGCAAAATGTACTTATTAAAATAGAACACAATAGTAACTCATAAAATTACCTAATCTTATGACAATCTCAATGAAAGCATTTAAATTATCTGAACAATACGAATGTAGAAATAAGATATAAAACCCCCTAATAAGGTGTCAAAGGGCAGGTTGAACAGAGATGATAGCTGTCTAATATCCAAGAACAGATCTTACTGCAGTTTAGAAGCCCCTAAGCTAAACTATTCTCTGATAAACAAAGATGAAGAACAAACACAAAGGTGTGTCCGCAACAGGAAGTGCAGCATCGTTGCTTTTAAACGCACTGATTATCAGATGTGACCAACACTGTGGAGCAGGAATTTATTTTGGCAGTTTGCCTGTATGGACTTTATATTTAACACGATATGAAGAAGAGACAAAAGCTATAGGGTTCCATGGCTCACCTCCCAATGAAAAATGGAAATCAAATTATCATCAAATAAAAAAGATACAAGTAGAAACCTTTCAGTTGCTTTAATTGGCAGTACAGTAGGTTGAGTTAAATTAAATAAACTTAATAAGTAGGTTTTGTTTCTAAAAGAAAGCAAAACTTAGGTTTGTTGCATGGCTGAGCTTGAAGATACCGTAGTGGCATAAACACAAAGCACGGCGGTAGAGGGGTGATAATGTGGGCTGCTCCAAATAACTCTACTGCCACATGTGAGGCCATTGGTCTGCCTTTCTGTTGACCTAAACAGAATTATGAATCCTAGACACAACAGCACTAAATGTACAATAGAATCACTGAAAAGATTCTAGAATCACCCAAAACTTAAACTCTGGAGTAGGACATCAGTAGAGCTGCGCTGAAATGAGTGTCACCATACTATTAGATAGACGAAATAAAGAAAGAAAAGAAAAATATCATGCAGTAAATAAGTGCTTTAATTTCTGATGGTAGATATTTTTTTTTATTTCTATTCTCTCTAACAGCTAACAGTGATAAATGGTTCTTTTTTATATTGGCATATTCAAAACTTTTGAGTCATTTCTTTCATTAACTTTTGCATACTCATTTACATGCTTTCTATTCTGCTCTAAATTTATCAAAACAAGAATGCATTCATTGTTTTTTTAGGCATTTTTAGTATGCATGTTATGTTGCACTACACACAGTTAAGGGCATTCTGTCCAGACGTATTTGTGTCAGAAAAACTATTCACTGGTTAAAGGTGCATCCTGTTAAATTTTTAGTCAAATCTTCAACATGGCTTATAATTAAAATAAAATTAATTTACATATTTTAAATAGATCATAAAAATCTTACTCTTTTAGTAACTTAATTAAATGTTGAATATATGAAACATTTAGCTGACAAGACTTAAGCCTTACCTTTCCGCCTTAGTTCACCGTTCAACAGCTGGACGGTCAGTCAACGTCTACCTTGTCCCCAAAACTGATCACTTTGGACACAACTTTTTGCACTCAAAGCCATGGAAAATGTTTATTCAAAGTAAGAAAGGAATAAAAAAAAATTACCTTAGAAAGGCAGAAATATCTTTAAAACAAGATGCTTATTAAAATTTAAAACACAAAAAAAACTAAAAAAAACACACAAAAAAAAATCTTTTCAAAATGACCAGTAACACCATATAAAGCATGCTCCACTTTCATTCTTTGAGGCAAAATTTAGCCTCACATGAGACCAACCATGTCCAGACATTTAATTCATTTTTTTCTCTCTCTAAATTGCTATATTTCCACACAATGTAATCAGGACTATGGGGTTACTTTTATATATTGAAAGACGAAACAGAAAAATGGCTTTTGACCAGTGCTGCAAAAACCGGACTTTCTAACCTTGATCAGAACAAAAACAAAGGTTCAAGTGATTCCTAATGTTTATAAAATAATAGGTCAACCATGATGGATCATTGCTTGAAAAACCACACCTCCTCTCCTGGAGAAGAGCAGCAATCGGGGGGGCACCCCCAGCAGCCGCTGTGCAGAAGCCCCAGAAAGCTCACAGAGCCCACTGGCAGCCAGCTGCACCGGAGCAGATCCAGCCATGTGCCCAGAGGCCTGGTCATGCTATTTATGTTTGATTTATTTTTTTTCCATATACATTCTTTATTCCGGGTAGGCCAACGCTTCTTTATGATCATTGTCCATAACCTAAGTCTGTTTGGGTTTTACAGGAACTTGTGATTTAATTGATTACAGCAGGTCTTCTGGGCCCAGAGGAAACCCAGATCATGGCTCTTCCATCACTGGATCGGACTTTAAGCAGAATGTTCTTCTGAAACGTGAGTTTGATGAAAGATGCAATTAGATGTCCACCTTCCCAAGTTCAAAAAGTATCAGGGATCAAGAGGTTTCGTTTGGGAAAATTGAGATAATTATCAGCAAAACAGTCCATGACTTGGCTTCTCATGTTCAGGGCTCCCTGTAGATTGGGTCATTATGGATTCATCAATTTTAACCTACTTCATGTTGTAAGACAGGTTCTATTAAAGTGCTTCTACAAGTCTGACAGCAATCAGGCCCGAGTGTCACTGAACCAATATTCTTTTTTGGTTTATTCATTTATTCTTGATTTAACGACAGCAACCTATAGTCAGGGCTGGTTTAGAGAGAATTTCTCCCTTAATAAAGAAAATGACTGCAAAACCTTCGTACTTACCGTAATTTTCGGACTATAAGCCACACCTGAATATAAGCCGCAGAAGCTAAATTGCATGACTTGTACATATACAAGCCGCAACGGACTATACGTTTTTTTATGTTTAAACACAAACTGTCTTGCACTCGCAATGTCCGTCTTTCTCGCTGTCGTTCTGTCTCGTACCACTCGCGGTAGAAGTCTGCTTCCAGAGGACCTCCGCGCTCGCGGCTACCATACTTGTGTGTTGAAGCAAATGTGACATCAACATGGTGGATGGTAAAATCCATAGATTCAGGTATTACCCTAGTGGCCGTTAGCTGTAAAAGTCCATAGATAAGCCGCATTGTTATATCAGCCGCAAGGTCGAAAAATGGGGAAAAAGTCGTGGCTTATAGTCCGATAATTACGGTAGGTTTTGCATTTGTGAATCAAGCAACACAAAAGCTTTTTTTCTTATTTAGAAACATTTTTATTGAAACATACATCAGATCTAACTTTTTAGTTTATTTAACCCCCCCAAAGATGAGAGCTATAAAACATAATTTTGTACATGAAAAATAAAAACCCAACAGGAAATGAGCGCAAACATATATAAAAAAAAAGTTTGGATCATTTTGTTACCATCATCCCCACAGTTATTTGCAGTTAAAAACATCTGCAGCTGTGGCAACCTTCTCACATAGGATAATTAAGCACCACGTCCTGTTTTGCCAGCTCCAACAACATAGGATCGTCGAAGAACTTGCTGATGCTCACATCTTCGCTCAGGCCCTGCAGAGCAACAAATAAGGAATATTAGTTTTAAAAAATTGATAATCGATGACGTTCAAGTCAAATGAAAAACAGGTATGCAGAAGACTCACCTTGCGTCTTCTGGTCTTGATCATGAACTCTCGGGCCAGGTGAGGTGCGGGCTGAGGTTCTAGGGGCCGGATCACGATGCTCTTGTCCAGAGGGTCACCGGGAACAATCTTTAACAGGAATCAGAACAGACAGTGAGTGAAAGCGCCGTTTACAATCAACACCTTCAGAGCCAACAAGCTGAGTGAACATTTTCAACAGTCACATTTTTTCCTGACTCAGGAGAGCATCAGTCATCCTAATGGCAAAAAAGGAGGAGTAAGTATTGTCACTCTATCAAAGGTGATCAACATGGCAACAATGCAACGTTAGCAGGTTGAGTAAGAACACAGGAACGTTTGAGATTATTCACTAAATCCATTATCCTAAGCAGCTCGCAGCCTGACCTTCATGGAACGTATGGGATATTCATTGTCATTTAGCTGGAGATGAAGAGGAGACTTTCACAGGAATTGGATATGGAGGAATAAATGAGACTTTCAGAGCCTTAGAGGGAGATTTTAAACGGAGGAAAAGAGGAAACCATAATCAAAGGAGAGGCTGAAGCCTAATCAACAAATGGATGAGAGCCGTCAAGGACAGAAACTCAACTTTATGCTGTTGGCAAGGCAATGCATGATAGAACTAATGAGGGAGGCAACGTACAGCCACTTAAGGTTAATGGGCCAAACAAGGCAGTTCAAGGGATTCTTTGTTGTTCTCGTTATCTAGAGCAGCTGAATCAATATATGCTCTCAGGAATCTCTCCTTTCCTAAACCTAAAGCAGGAGAAACTGTTGATTAAATCAGGATCAAGCCATTCCTCCATACATGCTGCTTGCAAAATGTTCCTGAGAGCCAGGAACATTCTGCATGTAAAATAAATGATAAAAACTAATAAAGACACGTAATGAAAACCTGTTCCTATCATCTCAAGAGGAAATGAAATGAAAAAAACCTGTTTAATAAGAAGCTGCTAAGGCAGAACCAAATCTGTCAGTTTCTCTTTTCTCATCTTCATATAATTCAAGTAACAATGATGCATATATTCTCCAGCGCATGTCTGACATAAATAATTCATGTCTGATGTCTTGTCAGATGCTTTCATTTTCACCTGAAGGGGATAAAGCATTAGTTGGGATGATGAAACCTGAAATGTTTCCACTCCTGTTTTGTCCACAGATTAATGACTTTGCACTGAAGTATTAATCTAGCCTAAGTGGAGGTAATTTTCACTGACACAGCTCTGCAGAGTGCAGACGCAAACACATGTCAGATAAGAGCAGACAGACACAGACAGCCACATAAAACTCCAAAAGTAATGACTTCACACTCTGCTGTACTCGGGATCTAAAGCAGAGTAAGAAAAGCGATGGACGTGTGCACAACGCCGGTCCCTATGGAGCAGGAGAGGCTCCTCCAAAACTTTCCAGACTTTGAAAACAGTCTGTGTCTGACATAGAAGACAATAGATGCAGATATTTCTACTGACCTCAGGCTCTCAATATTAACCTGCAATAAACAGTGAATGGATGCAAGAAGCAGGGATCTAAGTATAATGGATGGTTTGGTGAATGGATGGAAGAAAGATGGATGGACTGGGGAAGGAAAGGATGGATATCAGATGTACTTACAGATGAGTTGGTGGGAAAATGTGCAGATGATAAATGTGAGAAGGAGAGGTTTGGATCAATGGATGAATGAATGGAGGGGTGCATAAATGCATGGGTGAAAAATAGGATGAACTTGCACAGATTGATACATATAGACAGAATTGTATAAATGGAAAAAAAAAAGGACAAATTAATGTGCAGAAGCACCAGACAAGTGCAAAGATGGATTAATGGATGAAGTTATATAGGATGGACAGATGGAGGGACAAATTGAAAAACAAAAAAGCATTGCTGAACAATAGCACTGGAATAATATCTGGACAAGATAAAGAAGAGACAAACTGACAGATGAAAAACAGGCGGTGATGTAGGATAGGAAGCTTCATGTAGTCATTTATAGCACTTCATTCCTCTAATTCTTATTACAATTATATCATTTATGCTCAAAGCACAGACCCACAACCATCAACATTTATTTTAGTAGTTTTACCAAACTAAAAATAATCACACACTTAAAATTGACCAATTATAAACCCGGCTCATTTTTCCCTGTTGCACTTTTATTTTTAGCAGACAAACACTAAGTCATTTAATCCTCTAAGGGCAGGTACTGCCTGCATGTTTGTGTCCATAAATCTTACCTGCCAGTGGTGGAAGACAGAGAGAGCGAAGGCCTGACCCTGCGTATGGGTGCGAAGGTCGGTCTCGAAGCCAAAGGAGTCTATGGCTGGGATAAAAGCCTTGATGGTGTAGAGAGGAGAGCCGGGGATGGGTGCATCCTGGGTAACATGGCCCCTGATAGATGGCAAACATAGCAGGTTATTTCAAAGAAGAGAAGAAAAAAAAAGACTGAGCGTTCTGATTAAATGTTTTGTGCTCGCATGCAGACGAACCTCCTTCTAGCCAGCACTGTGTAGACGGCAGACACACAATCAGCTGGAGCCTGCACCTCTACAAAGTAATATGGCTCCATTAACCTTGGAGTGGCCTGAAATATAAGATTTTTTCACTGATTAAAGAAAACAAAAAGAACTTGAGAAAGATTAGTGCATATTTATAAAGAAATGCTGATGGGATTGATGACAGGTATGAGCAAAAAAGGTGGGAAGGAAAAGTCTAAATCCTGACAGAAAAACAGATTTTGGTTCAAATCATATTAGAGGAAGAACTAATCAGAAAGGGTCTCACCATGAGAAAGGCAGAGTACACCACTCTCCTGGCTGTGGGGATAACCTGACCTCCTCCTCTGTGGAGAGGCTCCTGAGCGATGACGGCATCCAGGATCTTAAACTTGACATTTCTAATAGCTGAAAGAAGCAAAAAAACAAAGTAATATATAAGGTAAATCTGGCAGAAATAAAATCTCTACAGATGGCCGAACTTATGTTGAGAAGAAAAGTCCTGATACTTAAGGGACCACTTACGTTCATCACAAAGAGGACCCTCCCTGGTGCCCCACTGGAAGCCTTGAACGATGCTGTCTTTGACTGAACCAAGCAATGCTTTGTCCACCTGCAGAAAAAACACACAAGCTATGAGATTCTCTGATTGAACCAAACAATAATCAGATCATTGTTATTTTCAAAGACAAGTAAAAAGTATGATTTCAATATTTAACCAATTTATATCAATACATTTCAAGTAATGGTAACATTTCATGCTTTTTCACAACCAAATCTTCAGAATTCATCTGTTTCTACTCATCATTAATATGTATAAAAACTTCAGTTTAATTTGGATACTTTAAAAGAGTAAAATTAATGAGGGAAAATGTCCAAACAGAAGGACACATGGATGGATGATGGGACAGACAGGCAAACAAACAAATAGATTCCTGAACATATTTGAAAGATAAAAAACAAGAGAAATAATAAAAATAGATGGATTGATAGCATAAAATGGACAATGATAGCATGGTAACGGACATGGAAAAAGAGAAAGACAAACAATCGGATGGAAATAAACATTTAAAAATCTAAGCTCAAATGATTCCAGAGTAAAAATAGCTCCTAACACCTATATCTGATAAAATGACGACAACCAGAGTCCATCTTATTATTAGCTTACGGTCCAAAACCGTCACAAAAAATGCCATTCTGTTTTATTACCAGAGCAGAATACTCCAATGCATCCAGTAAACTAGTCCATTTGCAATCATAGAAGTAGAGGAATTACAAAACGTAATAGTTTTATAATTAATAAATGTCAAATGAAAATAGTGATATCAATAAAAAAAATATTTTGGTTTAAAATTCAATTAAATTTCAGTTCAGTTTATTTATATAGCGCCAATTCACAGCTCGTCATCTAAAGGCATTTTATAGAGACAAATCAACCAGATCAAACATTCAGACAGGTTCTAAATGATCTATCTAAAGGTAGATAATACGGTAAAAAATGACTTAAATTTTAGAATAATTTATCTACATGTATAAAAAAAATAAGGACTTAATGACCCTTAAAACAGTTTAATTGCTTTAGGATGCTTTTATTCATAGTTGTATGCTGGTGAAGATTCTCAGTCATCCAGGTCATAGTCATTCCCAAAAAGTAAAAAAAAAACCAATCCATTGGACTTTGTTTCCAAGTTTGAAGAGGTTTCGCTTCCCATCCAGAAAGCGTTTTCACTTCAAAATGTCAGAAATAGCGTTGATTTCGAGGCTTTAGAGAGTGGACCAAATCAAAAAAATGCTTTTTATTTGGTCCACTCTATGAAGCCTCGAACTTTTTGAATTGGAAAAAGCTTCCTGGACGGGAAGCGAAACGTCTTCAAACTTGGAAACAAAGTCCAGTGGATTGTCTTTTTTTTTTTTTTTACTTTTTTGGGATTTATTCATAGTTGAGCTAATAAAGATTATAATTATTCATCTTATCAGCCTTTAAGAAAAATAAAAAATAAAACAAAAAAAAATACAACAATCAGCCATGCAAAAAATGTTATAGTTTTTATTAGACTTGCCTCTGAAGGAAGGGTGTCATCCACAAGAATATTGGGTCCTGTTGTGTCCGGTCCAAAGGCCCAGATGGACCTGGCAGCCAGCAGATCCCAGTCATACTTTGTCTGGAAAAACTCTCCCAGCTTCTTCCTGCCATGAAATAACAGAACAGTTATTGGTTGAGGGGTGGGGGTGTGGGAGCACAGTGTGTCAACTGGAACATTAACAAGATTGCTTTATTTAGGGGGAGCCGGGGAGGTTAATGGAAGAGAGCTATGTGAAGTTTGCAGCCTTGCTATTTTACCCTGGCACATCTAGGACCAGATGGCCTCACAGAGAGGAAGCCTCACTTAAGCAAAATATGTAATGAAGCAAGCGCTTCATACAAGATGAACAGGGAAGTGCATGCATGCTTTTAGTGCACAATTTAATTAAAGGGAGAATCAATCAATAAGCAAAGGTGAGGTAAGTTAATAGGAGCATTTATATGAAACAAAGACAGCTACTCTGCAGCGAATAACATTTCCAACAAACCACTCTTAAATATTTAATATCCATGCTCCAATATTCCTCATTTTATTTTTTCTACAGTTTTTCTACAGAACCTCATTTTTCAATGGCTGCTCATTAATTCCAGCGTTAGGATGAAATGAGAATAAATGGTCAGAAATGTGCAGAAACAATTAAGCTGACATCAAAGCAAAACGAGCACATCGGACATGAAAGGAGCCTTATATCACCCAACTACTGAACAAGACAATTAGGCGCAAGTATGAGTCTTCAGCGGCGTACCTGTTCCACGTGATCTGCACCACTTCATTCTCAATGTCCTCGGCGAGCCCCTTCTCCAGAGGTTCGGCGATCATGGTGATCTTATTCCTGCAAACCAAATCACATAGATCCATCAAACACTTAGAGTGGGCAATGCAGGTTACTTTAAAAAGTAACACAAAATAATAGGAGTAGCAGCAATAATTATCCAGTAAGGTGCCATTATGTATGAACATGATCTGATAAAATGAGAGTAAAATGCTTACTTTTTGTTTGGGGTCTCAGCAAAGCACTTAAGAGACGACGTCTCAACAACTGTTTCACAGAAAGTGACCACAGGGTCAGCGACCTGTAGAAACAAATGGCAGAAAGTTATTAGTAAATGCAAACTGCATCAGCAAAAACAAAACTATTTCACAATTGATCACAGTTATGATGAAATTGATATGTTTGACCCCTGTTTAGTCATTTTGTTTATGAATTATACATTTTTCCGAAGTAGCTAATTCCACATGTTTATTTGCATATTTACCAAATATTTAAAACCGGCTGACCTCCAGCTGTGTTCTACTTGCAGCCTGGGTTTGATGTTTTTTCCACTCTAGTTTTAGATCTAGGAATAATCATAACTTCCATGAATACAGGAAGGGCCGTACTAAAAGGCTTGTTCATGCATTTGGATTCAGTAAGCTGCAGCTGGAACCTTAAACAGACTCCTACTGCAGCCTAACTCATCTTTGGCATTCATTCCTACAGCAGTGCAGCAGCTTGATGCAATCAGCCTCTGGTTCTACTGAGATGTTAAGGTTGCTTTCATTTTGGGCTATAGCTCATCTGCATCTGGTCTCATCTTCTCTGTGAACAGTAATGAGCAGCTTCTCGATATGAGGTTCAGGTCGAGGCAGTTTGCTGTCCAATCAAGCACACCAATATCATGACCAACAGGGCAGGTAATGGTACTGATGATAGTGTGGGCAGCTGCCAAGTGATGCTGGAAAATGAATCAAGTCCATGAAGCTTGTCAGCAGAGGCAAGGCTGAGGTGCTTGATGTGATAATTCTGGACTTGATCAAAGACAGAGGACACGGCTGACTAAATACTCACTGCAGAACTCCAGAGTTTTTCTGCAGACTCTGGAAGCTTTGTTTCTAGAGAAAAAGCTAAATGTACTGTTTGATCACTAATAAACAGGGAAGTTATGTCCTCCATGTTTCCAACTTTGTCGCCTTTGCTTGTTTGTAGCTCGTCCTGGAAACTTCCGAGAGCGGTGGGACTCAAAGCGAATTCCAGCTGCTGGTTACACCCTGAGAACTTCATTCAGACTATGAAATGGGGTTTGGTTTGTTATTCTCACACTTATTTATTATAGTTGTTCTTTTTTTTTTCTTCCACTCTACTTTCCATTAAAATCCTTAGATACAGCATTCTGTAATAAAACAAGCATCTTAAGAAATTTGCTTTTAAAGATTGTCCTTGTAAAGGACAGGCAGAAGTCTAAAAAGGTACAGTTTTGTGTAGGTTATAACATGGTAATAGGACAATTATAATTATATCTTATAGAATTTTAAAAAATATATTGCTTTTTTCAGCTTTAAACTTTAGTTTCTATTGAAGTGCTGCAATAAATGACCTTTTTATTGATCGTTAAATATATTGAGATTAAGCACCTTTTGTCCCCAATTCAATTTTTGTAGCTAGATAATTAGGAAAGGCACTTTTACTCACTTTAATGTCAATCTCTGAGTACATCTTCCTCAAATCGTGCATGACACAATCCAGGTAAAGCTCTCCCGTCCCTAAGATGACATGTTCTCCCGACTCCTCCACCTGAAACATAATCAACTCATTAATCAGCTCCAAAAAAAACATGAAACTAAATATAAAAATAAACTTCGTCCGTACTCAAGCCTACCTTTGTGGTTAGAGATGGGTAGCTCTTGTTAACCTTTCTCAGGCCGTCCAACATTTTCGGCAGCTCAGACGGGTTGACGGGCTCCACAGCGATCTTGATAACAGAGGCCGTGTTGAACTTCAGTGGCCTAAAAATCTGAGCCTGAAGGAGAAGATTTTAATGTGATTTATAGTTCTTAACATCTTAGAAACATTTCTCTCTGATGCCTTGCCTCCTCGTTGCCTCGCGGCTCTGTGATGGTGGCCGTCTTCACGATGGGCTGGTCACAGCCCTCAATCAGAACCCAGTTTCCTGCAGGAACTCGATTCACTTCGATTTGGTATCTGTAGTAACGTTAGAGGCTGTAAATTGACCCAACAACCTATGACCTCGGACCATTAAAAAAAAGTAAAAATCAGAAGTTTACCTGGCGACAGAAATCCAAAGACGACCCACGGTGCAGATCTGAGAATCTTCCTCGTCGTCCAGCGTGTAGTTCTCTCCCAGCACTTTTACTGGCTGACCTGCCTGAATGGTGCCGCTCAGAACCCTGCCGAACGCGTGGAACTGGACCCCATCCTCTGTGCTGTACATCTTAGTGGTGTGGCACATCAAAGGACCCTGAGGAAGACAATCAGAAGGAGAAAATCACAAAGTAAGAAGAACCTGACTCTTATTTTATGATTTTCTTGCATAAAAAGCAGATTTTTCCATTAGGAGAATCTAGTTCATCTCATCAAAACATTACATTACTCACATCTGGATCGCATTCTGCCATGGCCTCTCCTAAGTCTGAGTCAAGGCCTCCAGTGTATGTGTGCTCTATCTTTATTTTAGCACCCTCTTGTGGTGAAGGGATGTGTTGCACGCACATGTCCACAAAACCTGCAGAGAAAATAAACAATTCCAGATGGATGGATGATGGATAAAATTAGAACAGCTATTAGTCTTTAAGTTCCCACTTTTTTCTCTTTATGTAGATACATATGAAGACCTGAAAATACTTTAATCAATTTCCAAATGTAGAACAAAGTAAAGATTTCAAAGCGCACCAGTGAACTCTCCGAAGAAGCGGTTACAGACGAGCCGAAGCAGCGGTCTAATGTTCAGCTTCAGCTCCTCTTTAGTGAGATGGATACCGAGCTCATCCAAAACTCGAGGCAGGGTTGTGTCCACATCCCCAACCACCTGGACATAGACAGCATTACACAGACTTAAAAAGCTTGAACTGAGTACAAAGCTGGTAATGTTCATTAAAAAAAAGCCAGCTCTAACCTGTGAGAGAATCTTGTAAAGAGGCTCCAGGATAAACTCAACAAAGCTGCGCTGGGAGTTACTAGTAGGAGCTTTCTTTGTGAACTTACGACTAAACAGAGAACAAAGACAAACCATGAAGAGAACAGCTTCACATGTTTTTCAACAGAAACAGGATACTCACGTTTTGGGGTTGAAATAGATGTCTCCCCAGAGCCGCTTTGCAAACTCATTATAGTTTATATCACCTACAAACAGATGAATGAGACAGGAGTTAGTCGCTTCTCACAGATTTCACTTTATCTCTACACCTCAAAAAAACCCAAAAAACCTGACCCTTGACCTCTACAGAAAGAATGTACAACATAAATGAACTAAGCTTTCATTTCCACACGTGGAGGCAAAATTATCTGGTTAAAGGGTTCAGAACAGAGGCATGTGAAGTTCTTCTGTTTTTGCTTTTTTCTTGAACCTAAATGTTTATGATTATCAAACTAAAATGCAATACAAAGGTTACCTGAGTTAACGCAACATGATGTTATCAAATCTTTATTTCCTTTAGTAATAAAAAACATGTCAAAAAGTAATGGCAACCTCACCCAAAGAACTGTTTGCGTCACCCTTTGGCAACAAAAGTGATTAAACATTTGCTGGTTCATGTTTTACATCACTGTGATTTTAACCAACTCTGCGCATGAATGCTTTGATTCAGCTTTGATCCAACCAGGGGCTGTTTGGGATCAAAATGCTTCCCACTTATTCATGTTTTAAACACAGGGATCCATCAAGGTTGTGTTTTTTTACCCTTATTTTGTTTTCAATCTACAGCAACAGCATCTCCTGAACAACTAAATATTTTATGAAAATAAACTTGAACTAAAAAAAAACAATCAGTTGGGCTGCTTGGGCCGAGCCAGGTCATTACTCTTTCAGTCAATCGTCATCAGCTGGGAACTGAAGAAGTCTCACATATAGTTTTCATTGAACACATTTTGTTTTAAAAAAGCAAAACCAGATCTCAACCTGCTGGGAAACGATCAAGCAGAAATTCAATATTCTGTAAACCCAGAATAAAAAAAATTAACAACAAAAAATCCCAAATTTTAAACTCCTTAATTTAAGAACTGCTTAACAAATATTCTTTACTCTCAACAGTTAAAATAGACTATGCCATTTGAGTTCTGCATAGAGCATATTCAAAAAGATCTTTCCTCTCTAAATGGAAAATGACATTTTTTGTACCGCTCTGGATTAATTACTGCTCTCACTGGGTTATTCTTTCAGCAGTTTGCATGTTTGAGTGTGTAACACTCCAGTTAACGGTTCAATTCCATTATAATTAATAATCCCTGAGGATTATTTGAATGACAGAGTATTTAAAACTGATCCGTACCTGTTCTAATCCTAATCTAGTGGTGGACCTACATGTGTCTTTTAGATCCTTTTTGGATAATATTTAGGAAATCGCCCCAATCCTGGATCACCAGCATCTTTGTCTTTTGGTACGATGCTGGGTTTGTTTAGCAGCAGGTGTAATGGGTGAGTACACCTTGCTGTAAAATTCAATATAACCGTTTCCCATGACTTTCCCAGGATCATCCTAGTTTTTTTTAGGAAAACTGAACCGATCTTTCTCTTCTTTTGGTTTTCATCTTTTCATCTTGCTTTAATATTTATTATTCCTGTCACTTCTCTCTCTTTTTCTGACTCATAAGAACTGAACTAAACTAAGAGAAGTGATACCAGCAGAGCTTTAGATGTTCTGGATTCTTATCTGACCTCCTGGGTGAATAAATTGATGAAATGTTGGAGCAATTTTTGCAGGCAAGGACATTTCTCCACAGTTTCTACTTTCTAAACTGATGGATTACAATGAAGTTTGAGCCATTTTTAAACATTCTTAGACTAATATATATATATATATATATATATATATATTTTTTTTATTTTTTTTTTTATATTATCACTACTACTTCATGATGTCAAACATTGAGTGAATTCTTATGTCTACAGTTCAGGTAGTATTCAGTCTTGAGGGAGAGAATTTCAATCTTAGCTCAGATTATAAGTGATGTTAAAGTAAAACCACGATTTCAACTTAATTTTATTTATTTTTATCATTCAAAACTGCATTTTGTGTTTAATCAGTGTATTTGTTTGTTTTTTTTTTTGCTTAATATTCAAATATTAGGGATAACCTGAAACCCAATAATTTAAGAAAACAGAGCAATAGGGCTGTAACTACCAATTATTTGGCCAATCAATTAATCTGTTGATTATTTTTTTGATTAATCAATCAAAATGTTTCTTAAAGAAGATTTTTACAGAAGTAAACCAGATGAAACTAAAACCTTTCCTTGACAGCATACTGACAGATTAAAAATGATAATTTTTTTTTTTATCTTAAATGCAAAATACTAATATATTTTCTTACAATGTTAGTATAGTTTCTGCTCTAATAGGGTAGCCCTGTCAGCTAAAGCAGGTTTTAGAGTCTCTATACTCCAGTTACATGGGATTGATCATGATTAATCTGATTGTTTCAGCCCAACAGAGCAAGCAGAAGAATAATGTGAAGAGTGAAATGCTTTTTGTTTTTTCAGCTCTGCCTGTTCACTGCTGAGCAGATCTCACCGTAGGTGTCTGAGTAGATCTTGGCAAAGGAACCCAGGGTGAAACAGATGTGGTATTGAGAGCTGGCGAAGCACACATTCCCGAGGAGAGGAGACACCACCAAGTTCTCATCTGTGGAGTATGTGCTAAAAAAATTTAAAAAGAGGGATGAGAAGGTCGCAAAAACTGAAATGGGTAACTTACTCTCCTAATCAAAAGACAGCAGAGCAAAACATAATGTCTGAACAGGATTACCTGAGCAAACCGTTGACCTCATCCACAATGTGTCGAAGTTTATAATAAGCATCTGTGGGCGGCAGCTTTAGCTCAACGATGAGTCGGTCCACCTTGTTGATGCAGATGGTGATGGCCATGCGCTCCTGGACCGCGTGTTTAATCAGACGCTCTGTGTTCAGCATCACCTGGGCAGACAGAGGAGGAGGAGATTGAGTTCTATATTCTACAAAAGGAAATCTAAAATATATGGATAACCTAAAAAAACAAAAAAGGTAACCCACTCCTTCTGCTGCATCGATGAAGAGGACGACTCCATCCGAGATCCTCATGCTGGATGTGACCTCATCAGAGAAGTTTACATGGCCTTTTGAAGGACACAAAACCTAATGTCAATGTTTTGTTTCTTCAGGATTAAAATAAATATTTTATCCTAATCAACATGTTGGGCTAATTTCCAAGACCTGGTGTATCCATGATGTTGAAAAGGTATGATTTCCCTCTGGAGTCAGGCAGGACCATGGTGACTGGAGTGCTTTTGATGCCTACCCCTCTCTGATTAAAACACATCAGAATAAAGGAGGAGGCACCAAGTTATCTTTCAGAAATAAACTGACATAATTCAAGAAATAATGTTAGATTAATTCAACTCAAATCAGAAAGAAAAACTCACCTCCTGCTCTGTGAAAAGGATGTCTGTGTACCGGAGCTGGAAAACAGATCAAAACCAAGTTTGGTTGCAGTTGATTCCGACGATTAAAAGGTTTTAAAACGGAAGTAGAGAAAACTTACATCAACATCATCCCTCTTTCTGATTTCAGGGTGGGTTTGCTCAATCAGACAGTCAACGAAACAAGTCTGAGAGAAAGAAAATCACTTGTTAAGGGGAATTTATTCTACAGTCAAGCCTTCTACAAATAGTTAGCATTGGGCTACATGATTTAATCAAAACATGACATGGTTATATTATTATGAATGATTATAATGATATGAAACAATTAAATATCATTAGACAGCAAAATATTGGAAGGCAGGATCATAATCTTGATAAACAGACTGCACATAAACAGACTGCACAGACGATGTTTAGAGTTGGACTTTCTTACAAAAATATATTTCAACTGCTATTTACCAGCTTATCACAGCAAATATAGCAAAGCCACTTTCTGCCATTGAACACAGGAGCAGCAGAAGCCTCAGATGCACCTGGACTCACTTTAATGGCTGCGCTTCAGGAGCATCTCTGATGACCTTAATGTGTACAGGCATCAAAAATGAAGCAGCAGATGCTTTTTGGCTGCTCAAATTGCGCTGTGAACGGAGAATTACTGGTACACTTTCTGATTGTTTGAATTAACCTATGAAACATAATATTGTGCCTGAAAATGATCTCATGTCTTCCATATAAAATCTCCACCTCTAGTCAAGCACACATGCTTCCCATAATCAGGAAAAAAGAAGTGTTTTAACAAAGACAAATGGTTAGCTATATTCCTCCTCAAAATGCAGGAAATAGCCTTTCAGAGTCTAAATTTCTAGTTTTTTTGGTGGGAGGATAACGCAAGACCCCTCTATGCCGCACAAGGCCTGAAGGTGTCATACACCAAGGTGTTCACCCTATGAAATATCCCTAGCCAAAAGCCTGCTGCCAATTAAAATAAAATCAAATATGATATTTCACTATGGAAATCAATGTTTTTGTAATAATATGCAGGAAAAGAAAGAAGTAATAAAAACGATGAAAAGGGCAATAGCAATAAAGTATAGAAAATACTTTTTATATACTACTTTATAAAATACTTTTTTTTTACACATCAGGATCTAGAAATGACTGAAATCTAATGTCTTACGCTACATTTTTTTTTTTTTTTTACAGTGAAGCAAAATAAAGAAAATACCATCACTTTTATTTCATTTATGTTTTTTATCCATTTCAAACGTTTCTTGATTTAAAAGCCAGTGACCTGAGCCCAGAGTATTACATTACAGGAGAGAGCCAGGTTCAGCGACAAAGCTGCAGCTAAGCTAACCTTGCCATGGTGGAGGTGACCACAGAGGGTGACATTACGGATCAGCTCGGTGCCATCCATCAGATCTGCAAGAAACCTGTGTGGACGAAAAGGATGAGAGAGCTCAAAAGTGATGCATATCACTCTGCTGCATTTTTAATCATTTAGTCTGAGCTGAAGAGGATTCTGCCAAAGTCTGATACTCACTCCATGTCATAAACAGTGGCAGGTAACTCCTGCTCCATCAGGGTGAACTGCTTGTGCTTTACAGGCTTAATGATGGGTTCTAGAGGGGAGAAAAAGGAGGTAAAACTGATAAGAATATTTTGTCCAGGCATATTCTGTGACAATATTAAAATCCCTTTTAATTTAATATAATT